GATGTCTATGTTTGCGTGTGTGTGCGTGTTTCTGCCCGCGAGATTACACTCACACGCACACACACATGTATATATATATATATGAAGAAATATACTCTTAAGGTGTGCTATATTTATGGGATAAAGTGCTCACTATCAGAGATAGAATGTGTGCAAATATGAAAGTGAACATTGAAGTTAACACTTATAGGCGGCAGTCTGTTTCATGCTACGCGCCATCGTCAGGCCACGAGTGTTGTTTTTTCTCTGCAATTTATATATACTGGTCAGTGATGACCCGTATATATAAATTGCCGAGAAAGAAAAAATTATTTTCGTTTATTTGCACTAATCAAATAGATAGATAGATAGATAGATGTAAATATAAGAATTGTGCACAATGATATCAGTATTGACAAGAATCTGTTTACATATTGCGTTCAGCCATGAAAGAGACAATCCCGCCTCATTGTCACTATAGAAACCAACAACGGAATAATATTACCAGGGAGATACTTAAATACATTAAGGAAGCTAGCAAAAATATATGGACATCTACATTTCCTCCGCGTACAAGAGAGATGGGATTGTCATCATGAAAAATGAATTTAATACTCAAGGATACCGACACATGAAAAATAAAAGAACAGAGAATAATTACTGAAACACAAAAATTTATCATGGTGTTTAAGAAACTAATTAAACATGTGTTATACCGAAACATACCTATTCTATTGTTAATAGACTCTCCCAGATATAATAAGTAGTAGTAGTAGTAGCAGTCACCAGTAGAGTTGGTGAGTCAGTCGATGTCAGACATTGAAATATCAACCACCACAACTAGATTGCTGCGTCATTAACTATTATTTTCAAGTTCCTAACGTTTTGTACGTCGAACCTTGTTTAGGACCGACTCAGGGAAATACAAGCCTCCACTGTGAAAACTACTCTACAACAACATGGAAACAAATCGTGGCATAGACTAATAGAATATCACACTAGGATACCAGATCTTTACTGTCTCCTTAAAACCCACAATACATGCATCCCAATGTGCTCCATTATTGCAGGTATAGACAGCGCTCCCCACAAAAAGGTAAAAGCCATAATAAGAATTGCAACCCCTATGCTTGAAACGAACAGATATAAAAATAAAATCAGGCAACCTAATTGAATAAATAATGGAAACAAATATGACCAACAAACTCATGGTTAGTTTAGATATAAAATCCCTTTACAGTAACGTCTCGGTTGAAAAATGCTTAAATCTCTTAAAAAATAGCATCTAACATAATCAAAGATAAATCCCTCCCTACCAATAGCTAAAATAATAAAAATCTTCTGTCATCAAACAATGATATTTCACATGATAATTTTTATAAACAAAAATTTGGATTAACAATGGGATCTCTTCTTAGTGAAGTCAAGGCATGTAATTTTTTTTATTTTTTTCAATTTCGCGCATTTGGTTCTTTCCAAAATATTTTCCCTAAACAATCAACATAGCTCGGATATATTGATAAATCTTCATTAATATATAACTATAGAACACACTGAATGCATTAGCTGCTCCCCATAATGAGACTGACCACAATTTTCACATAAATTTTTTTACTCTAATTAAAATGGAAAACAATTCACTAAGACGAAAAATGTCGAGAAACTGCTTTAATTGCTATTTCACCCACAGTAAATTTACCTTATATATCAGACAGCATGGCCCGGCGTGCTTGATTCAAAAATTCGTACGACTCATACAGCAATCGCTATCACTTAAAATATTTTTGCCCTTCCTTGCCTTTAAACGAGTGCCCTTTGCTGTGCTGATGTTGCTACATGCCTTACTTCTTGCCTATCTCACACTGCGAATTTTTTCTAAGCTCTATACGAAACATTAAATCTGTTACGAATGAACACAAAACGATCAGCTTTAAAAAAGGACTCGTAACTGAAAAAACCGAATGAAAAAAGAATGTTAACAACAAATACTTTTTCACACCCAACCCAGTTCTGCGGAATCAGAATCAACGTTGAGTTTAAGCAAGCGAATGAGCCAATTGGAGTAAAGTGCCATGCAGATTTAAATCTTTCCCACTTGTGACGAATGCAGCTATCGATTAACTAGCATGCTAGTTAACATTAGTGTCAGTCAGCTGTTAGCTCTCACGCTGGCAATTAGAATCTTCCTGCCTATTCGTGGCAGCCAGCTATAGGATATCACTCTGGCCAGTACAAAATGGCCGCAAACTACATGAAAACTGACGTAGAAGCATGAAAAATCGATTATTTCCACTATCGATGGAAGTTGAAACTGCAAAGTCGGTCTTGGCCTTCCGCTAACTTGGAGCATGTGCGTAAATTTTGGTGCAAATCTGTCGAAAATTGCAGCCGTGCATTCACGTTACACCACCCCACACACGTCTACATATATATATATATATATATATATATATATATATATATATAGGTTGACATGTATGAAATGTCCAAAATCTAGTGATACTTACGGGTATATAAAAGTTCAGAGTATATTGAATTTTGATGATAAATGATCACCGTACAATATTATTATATTATAAAATACCTTTGCAACATATATATATATATATATGTGTGTGTGTGTGTGTGTGTGTGTGTGTGTGTGTGTGTGTGTGTGTGTGTGTGTGTGTGTGTAATAATATAGGATAAAGAACAAACAGGAAACGTTTATAAATCTAACATTTTTCACTTTTATTAAAGCTTTAATCAAAATGAAATATGTTCGATCGATAAACGTTTCCTATTTGTCCTTTATCCTATAAACAGTGGCTGCTGCTGCTAATGCAATGCCCTTCTACTCGAATCGAGGTCTCCTAGCTACTGACGCCTTTCGCCTAGTGAAAACGTTAAAATTTCTCTTTCTCTCTGCCGTGCAGCGATGGCTTGGTGGTAGAATCTCTGACTAATGCCAAATCGGTTGGGTTTCGATTCCGGCTTGAAGCAATCGGGTGTCTAGCCATGATGTGCTCTGATACAGATAAACAATCTGTCTATGGATGACTATATATATATATATATATATATATATATAGTCTGTCTGTGGATGATTATATATATATATTTATATTTGTAAATGTGATCTATAAACTAAGAAAACTCTTAAGAGATCTAAAACCGTGATCAGTGTGCTGAAATTGATGTGATAATTTCGTGTATATGCGGGACAATATCCTCAGTGATCTGAAGCTACGAAGCATCGATGCAGTAAGAATGCACTTCCGGTTTCAATAAGAATGCACTGCCGGTTCCCCAACATTCTGTCAAATTGTTGTCAGCATTATTTGTACATTGTGTTTGATGGTTCATCAATGTTCCAACTTCTCGCTTGGTTTGATATTCAATCAAGATTCTAATAACAGAATAATTTTGGCTATAGTAGCTATTTCTTTTATGAGCCGTTTCTTTTCAGAGCATAGGAGATCATTGCTCTCAACAACTTCTAATCATTTATAGATTTAAACATTTTTTTCATTAATATCCAACCCAATCCCTATTGTGCCCTTCATTTACAGAAGCCCACTAGATACGTTGCTCACTGTTTGCCTCTGACATTTTTGTCTTCATTATGTTTTGTGGGGGTCAGATCCTTCAAACCCTTTTTCCTCATTATGTGTCCCCGAACATTCATTTCAGTGTTCCTAATACTAACTTTCACAGTTTCTTTAAAACTTCCTAATTGTTCACATATTCTATTCATGTTATACCCAGCATCCTTCAGTGGAAGGGTGACTCAAGTTTCCTCTTCATCTGTGAGCAGGTCTTCCAGCATTATTCTGTTATTTAGGCGGATTGAAATTATTAGGTTGGTCCATAATTATCAGGCGTTTTTAAACAATATTTATTATGCAAAAAGAAACACAACAATAACAATAGTATTTTTAAATGATTATTCCGGAGCGTATGATTATCGATACGCATTTTTGTAACCTGAAAATAAAACAATATTTTTATTAAAGTGAAATTTTTTTAACAAATAATTCGTCTACAAAAACGCCTGATAATTATGCACTAACCTAATATATAGCAGTTCGGAACTTGTTTCTTTGTACCTTTAGTAATACATTATCTTCTAACAATAACGTTTATAGAGAGAGTGGGAATAATAACTCTCAGAAATACCCGCCACTTAATCGTAAGGTCTTAGTGGCAACGGTGTCTTTAACTAGCTTATATTTTACGTTCATGTGGGAGGTATTTCTGGTAGGTATGTATGGAAGGTATTTCTGCCGCACTCTGTATTAATAAGAAAGAATACCAGAATAAAGAATTCACTCGTTGCTTAAAGTCAAAGAATTCGAACACGCATTCTTTTGTACATAAAGGAACGGGTCCCGTTTTAAGTACGAAAGAAGAGGTATATCGACCGAACACGGTACCAAAGGTCGTCACATTTAATCTTCGTTCATACAGAATTGTGCCTGATTTTCATGATAGCTTTGCTGACATTCATCGTCGTATAATAATTACTAAATGGCCAAAAGTTTTGGCGCCAGATATCAGAAACCGTTTTGGCGTACCTTTTCCAAATAAAAAAAATAAACGCAAATAAATACACAGTACGCTGCATCCTACAGTTTTGTTTTTGTTTCTTCAATCGGTATCACCCGATGCAAGGTAGTAAAGCCACTAAGACGCAATGGCGGTACAGAGTGTGGATGAATTATTAACAGAAATTTAAATAATTAGTGGTAAAAGGATTGAGTAATCAGGAGAGAGTAGATAGCGATTGACATTGCATTTAAATTTTTGCAGATTCAAGTTGGCTGGGAAGTATGGAACCGGAAAGGAGTTCCTCAAGGAGAAGTACGAGAAAAGAAACTGTTAGCATAGAACTTACGGTTACTTCACTTAATTTAAAAATGTTTAGATACCATCTCCAGCTGCTATTCCACGAACGCAGGTGTTCCCCAAGGCTCCATCCTAGGCCCTACTCTGTTCCTTATCTTCATCAATGATCTCCCAGACGTCATAGATTCCCAAGTAGGCATCTACACGGACGACACTACAATTTACTACTGCCTCAAAAATAAATCTAGCGTCACTGACAAAACTAGCCTGGCCGTTTGTCTCGAAAAAGACCTCCAATCGGTTGCGAACCGGGGCAGAAATTGGCTGGTTAACATTAACGCCTCAAAAACAAAACTGCTCTCTATTAATCACCACAGAGATCCTTCCCTGCCCTCCATTAGAATGTCTGGCGCTCAACTGCCCGAGAGCACCTCTCTGCGGCTGCTCGGTCTTACGTTGACTGCTAACCTGAGATGGAACAAATACATTGAGTCAATTGTTTCGTCCACCGCAAGGAAATTTGGCTCCCTGTGCCACGCCAGGAAATTTTTCTCCCCGGAATCGATCCTCCAGATCTACAAATCAACCATTCGCCCTTGCATGGAGTATTGCTGACATATATGGCCCGGTACCCTTTCTGTTTGTCTCAAGGTTCTTGATAAAATCCAGAGACGAATATGCAATGTAAATGGCCCTGACCTGGCATCTCGTCTGCAGTCCCTCTTTCATAGATGTGCCGTCGCATCCCTCTGTCGTTTTTACAAATACTTTCATGGTAACAGATGATGAGCTGCTTTTGCTGGTTCCCAGACTACATGAATTTAAGCGTTCTACTAGGCTGGCATCTCGCTCTGACACTTTCACTATCGAAACTGTTAAATGTAGCCGTCTCTTCTAGTCCAATAGCTTCATGTCTCGCACTTCTTGCCAGTGGAACTCGCTCCAATTTTCCTGTTTCTTTCATAGCTATAATCTTCAACAATTCAAATGTAATGTCAATCGACGTCTGCAGATGCCTTGCTCTATCCCCTATTCTTCTTTTCATCCTTCGTCTATCACTGTTATTTGCTCTTGCTTCAACTCTCTGTAACCCCTTGCTTGCTTGTAGCTTCCACTTTGCTTGGTGTGAAACGCTTAAAAAAAATAAGGAAGAGCTCATTTAGAAAATTAACATGAAAGCTTTTTTTATAGAAAAGGCACAGAGAGGCAACCTTACGGCAGTGGGCAAGTCACTGAAGCCGACCAGTACCAATAAAATTGCTGATACTTCTATGGATCTTATCAAGAAGCTTAAGGTAAATAGCAGAAACACTGGACCATATGTGCCAGCAATATTCTAAGAATGCGCGAATGGTAGACTTGTAGATATGTAAGGTAGATTCTGGAGATAAAAATTGTCTCGAACGACACAGTGAACCGACTTTCTGTTGAGGGGTACTCCCCTTTTTACACAAATGGACTCACCCAGTATATACATATACTACGGCTACGTGAAGACCCGAGAGAGGAAGACCGAAGAGTCGAGTCGAGTCCAGAGTGACAGAGTAAAAGGTTGTAGGTAACCGAAAGAGTGAGGGTGAGGTAACAGCGTTGTAGGAGTCACAGTGAGTGAGCACGTAGACTCAGTAAGAAGTCATACACCGATACTTCAATACCAAAGACTGTATAGATATTTTGCTACTAACCCGTATTCCTGGAACTACTGACCTTCTTTACCAGTTTGTATTATTACGTTAATACATTAATTTTATATATTCATTTACTGGAGTTTTTTATTTATTGGTACCGGATTTCATCTCGGAATCCACAACACTTTTCTTTGAAGCTGAATAAAAGAAGCTAATGGCGGAGAAGAGGCGGTTACATTTAACTGTTTCGACAGTAAATGGGTAGGACCCAGATGTCAAACTAGTATCACGCTTAAGTTCATTCAGGGCACCAGTGAAAATAGCTCATCAGAGCAGATGCCATGAAAATATTTGTAGAAAATACAGAGAGAAAAAGAGACAGGAAAAAGAAAAGACAGAGGGAAGAAAAGAGAGAGAAAAGAAAAGACAGAGAAAAGAAAAGACAGAAAAAAGAAAAGACAGAGAGAAGAAAGACAGGGGAAAAAAAGACAAGGAGAGGAAAAGAAAAAGAAAGAGAAAAGCAAAGACAGAGAGAAGAAAAGACAGGGGAGGAAAAGGAGAAGACAGAGAAAAGAAAAGACAGAGAAAAGAAAAGACAGAGAGAAGAAAAGACAGGAGAGGAAAAGACAAGAGGAGAAAAAAAGAAAGAGAAAAGAAAAGACAGAGAAAAGAAAAGAAAGGGAAAAAGACAAGAAGGAAAGAGAGAAAAGAAAAGACAGAGGGAAGAAAAGACAAGGAAAAGAGGAAAGGAAAAGACAGAGAAAAGAAAAGACAGAGAGAAGAAAAGAAAGGGAAAAGACAAGGAGAGGAAAAAGAGAGAAAAGAAGAAAACACAGAAAAAGAAAAGACAGAGAGAAGAAAAGACAGAGGAGAGAAAAAAAAAGACAGAGAAAAGAAAAGAGAGAGAAAAAGAAAAGAAAAAAAGACAGAGAGAAGAAAAGACAGAGAGAAAAAAAAGAAGAGGGGAGAAAAGAAAAGACAGAGGAAAAGACAGAGAAAAGAAAAGACAGAGAAAAGGAAAAGACAAGAGAGAGGAAAAGACAGAGAGAAGAAAAGACAGAGAAAGAAAAAAAGACAGAGAAAAGAAAAGACAGAGAGAAAAAAAGACAGAGAAAAGAAAAGACAGAGAAAGAAAAGAGGGGAGGAAAAGACAAGAGAGAAAGAAAAGAAAAGAGAAAAAAGAAAAACAAAGAGAGAGAAGAAAAGACAGAGAGAAGAAAACAGAGAGAAAAGAAAAGACAGAGAGAAAAAAAAGAAAGGGAGGAAAAGACAGAGAAAGACAGAGAAAAAAGACAGAGAGAAGAAAAGACAGAGGAAAGAAAGAAAAGAAAACAGAAAGAAAAAGACAAGAGAAGAAAAGAGAAAGAGGAAAAGACAGAGAGGAAGAGAAAAGACAGAGAAAAGAAAGACAGAGAGAAGAAAAGACAGAGAGAAGAAAAGACAGGGAAAAGAGGAGAAAAAGACAGAGAGAAGAAAAAGACAGAGAAAAGAAAAAGAAAGAAAAGAGAGAGAAGAAAGAAAGGGGAGGAAAAGACAAGGAGAGGAAAAGACAGAGAAAGAAAAGACAGAGAAAGAAAGAGAGAAGAAAAGAAAAGACAAGAGAAGAAAAGACAGAGAGGAAAAGACAAGAGAGAAGAAAGACAGAGAAAAGAAAAGACAGAGAGAAGAAAAGAAAAGAAGAGAAAAGAAAAGACAGAGAAAAGAAAAGACAGAAAGGGAAAGGGAGAAAAGACAGAGAAAGACAGAGAAAAGAAAAAGACAGAGAAAAGAAAAGAAAGGGAGAAAAGAAAGACAGAGAAAAGAAAAGACAGGGGAGAAAAAAGAGAGAAGAAAGAGGGGAGGAAAAGACAGAGAAAAGAGAGAAGAAAAGACAGAGAGAAAGAAAAGAGAGAGAAAGAAAAGACAGGGGAGGAAAAGACAAGGAGAGGAAAAGACAGAGAAAAGAAAAGAAAAAGAAAAGACAGAGAGGAAAGAAAAGAAAGAGAAAAAGACAGAGAAAGAAAGACAGGGAAAGAAAAGAAGAGAAAGAAAAGACAAGAGAGAGAAAAAAAAAGACAGGGAGAAGAAAAGACAAGGAGAGGAAAAGACAGAAAGGAAAAGACAGAGAGAAGAAAAGACAGAGAAAAAAAGAAAAGAGAAGAAAAAAGAAAAGGGAGAGAAAAGAGAAAAGAGAGAGGAAAAGACAGAGAGAAAGAAAAGACAGAGAGAAGAGAAAAGACAGAGAGAGGAAAAAAACAGGGGGGAGGAAAAGACAAGAGAGAAAGAAAAGACAGAGAAAAGAAAAGACAGAGAGAAGAAAAGACAGGGGAGAAAAGAGAGAAAGGAAAAGACAGGAAAAGAAAAGAGAGAAAGAAAAGACAGAGAGAAAAGACAAAGACAAAAGACAGAAAAGAAAAGACAGAGGAAAAAAGACAGGGGAGAGGAAAAGACAGAGAAAAAAAGAGACAGAGAGAAGAACAGAGAAGAAAAGACAAAGGAAAAGAGAGAAGAAAAGACAAAAGGGAGAAAAGAAAAGACAGAGAAAAGAAAAAGAAAGAAAAGAAAAGACAGAGAGAAGAAAAAGAAAAGGGGAGGAAAAGACAAGGAGAGGAAAAGACAGAGAAAAGAAAAGACAGAGAGAAGAAAAGACAGGGAAAAGAAAAGACAGAGAAGAGAAAAGACAAGACAGAGAGAAAAAAGACAGAGAAAAGAAAAGACAGAGAGAAGAAAAGAAAAGAAAAAGAGAAAGAAAAAGACAGAGAAAAGCAAAGACAGAGAAAAGACAGAGAAAAAAAGACAGAGGAAAAAGAAGAGAAAGAAAAAAAGACAAGATGAAAAGGAAAAGAAAAGAGGAAGAGAAAAGAAAGACAGGGAGAAAGAGAAGGAGAGGAAAAGACAGAGAAAAAGAAAAGACAGAGAGAAGAAAAGACAGGGGAAAAAGACAAGGGAGAGAAAAGACAGAAAAAAAGAGAGAGAAGAAAAGAAGGGGGAGGAAAAAAAGGAAAAAAAAGAAAAAAGAAAGAAGAGAAGAAAGAGAGGGGAGAAAAGACAGAGAGAAGAAAAGACAGAGAAAGAAAAGACAGAGGAAAAGAAAAGAAAGAGACAGAGAGAAAAGACAGAGAAAAGAAAAGACAGAGAGAGAAAAAGAGAAAAAAAAAGACAGAGAGAAGAAAAGACAGGGGGAGGAAAAGACAAGAGAGAAAAAAAGACAGAGAAAAGAAAAAAGACAGAGAGAAAGAAAAGACAGAGAAAAAGAAAAGACAGAGAGAAGAAAAGACAGGGGGAGGAAAAGACAAGGAGAGAAAAGACAGAGAAAAGAAAGAGAGAGAGAAGGGAAAAAGACAAGGAGGAGGAAAAGACAAGAAAGAAAAGACAGAGAAAAGAAAAGACAGAGAGAGAAGAAAGAGAGGGGGAGGAAAAGACAAGAAAAGAGGAAAAGAAAAAGAAAAGACAGAGAAGAAAAGACAGAAAAGACAGAGAAAAAAAGAAAGAAAGAGAAAAGACAGAGAAAAGAAAGAGAGGGGAGGAAAAGAAAAGGAGAGGAAAAGACAGAGAAAAGAAAAGACAGAGAGAAGAAAAGACAGGGGAGAAAAGACAAGGAGAAGAAAAGACAGAGAAAAGAAACAGACAGAAGAAAAGAAAAGACAAAAGAAAAGACAGAGAGAAGAAAAAAAGAAAGAGAAAAAGAAAAGAAAGAGAAAAAGACAGAGAGAAGAAAGACAGAGAGAAAAGACAGAGAAGGAAAAAGACAAGGAGAGGAAAAGACAGAGAAAAGAAAAGACAGAGAGAAGAAAAGACAGGGGGAGGAAAAGACAAGGAGAGGAAAAGACAGAGAAAAGAAAAGACAGAGAGAAGAAAAGACAGGGGAGGAAAAGACAAGGAGAGGAAAAGACAGAGAAAAGAAAAGACAGAGAGAAGAAAAGACAGGGGAGGAAAAGACAAGGAGAGGAAAAGACAGAGAAAAGAAAAGACAGAGAAAAGAAAAGACAGGGGGAGGAAAAGACAAGGAGAGGAAAAGACAGAGAAAAGAAAAGACAGAGAAAGAAAAGACAGAGGAAAGGAAAAGACAGAGAGAAGAAAAGACAGAGAAAAGAAAAAAGAGAGAGAGAAAAAAGACAGGGAGGAAAAGACAAGGAGAGGAAAAGACAGAGAAAAAGAAAAAGAGAGAAGAAAAGAAAAGGAAAAGACAAGGAGAGGAAAGACAGAGAGAAGAAAAGAGAGGGAAAAGAAAAGGAAAAGACAAGAGAGAAAAGACAGAGAAAAGAAAAGACAGAGAAAAGAAAAGACAGGGGGAGGAAAAGACAAGGAGAGGAAAAGACAGAGAAAAGAAAAGACAGAGAGAAGAAATGAAAGGGGAGGAAAAGACAAACAGAAAAAACCAGAGAAAAGACAGAGAAAAGAGAAAAGACAGAGAAAAGAAAAAAGAGAGAGAAGAAAAGACAGGGGAGAAAAGAGAAAAGAGAGGGACAAAAAGAAAAAAGGAAAGAGGAATGAAAAGAAAAAGCAAAGACAGAGAGAAGAAAAGACAGGGGAGGAAAAAGACAAGGAGAGGAAAAAGACAGAGAAAAGAAAAGACAGAGAGAAGAAATGACAGGGGGAAAAGAAAAGGAGAAAGAAAAGAGAAAAAAAACAAGGGAAAAGAGAAAAGAAGAAGAGAAGAAGAAAGACAGAGAGAAGAAAAGACAAGGGGAAAAGAAAAGACAAAAATGAGAAAAGAAAAGACAGAGAAAAGAAAGACAAAGGGAAAAGCAAAGACAGAGAAGAAAAGACAGGGGAAAAAGACAAGGAGAGGAAAAGAGAGAGAAAAGAAAAGAGAGAAAAAAGAAGAAAGAAAAGACAGGGGGAGAAAAAGAAAACAGAAGGAAAAGAAGAGAAAAGAAAGACAGAGAGAAGAAAAAGACAGGGGAAGAAAGAGAAAAGAAAAGACAGAGAAAAGAAAAGACAGAGAAAGAAAAGACAGGGGAGGAAAAAGACAAGGAGAGGAAAAGACAGAGAAAAGAAAAAACAGAGAAAAAAAGAAAAGACAGAAAAGGGAGGAAAGAGAGAGAAAAAAAGACAGGAAAAGAAAAGGGAGAGAAGAAAAGAAAAGAAAGAAGAAAAGACAGAGAAAAGAAAGAAAGGGAGGGGAGAGGAAAAGACAAGGAAAAGAAAAGACAGAGAAAAGAAAAGACAGAAAAAGAAAAGACAGGGAAGGAAAGAAAGGGGAGAAAAGAAGAAAAGACAGAGAAAAGAAAAGACAGAGAAAGAAAAGACAGAGGAAGAAAAGACAGAGAGAAGAAAAGACAGAGAGAAGAAAAGACAGAGAAAAGAAAAGACAGAGAGAAGAAAAGACAGAGAGAAGAAAAAGACAAGGAGAGGAAAAGACAGAGAAAAGAAAAGACAGAGAGAAGAAAAGACAGAGAGAAGAAAAGACAGGGGGAGGAAAAGACAAGGAGAGGAAAAGACAGAGAAAAGAAAAGACAGAGAAAAGAAAAGACAGAGAGAAGAAAAAGAAAAGAAAAAGAAAAGAGGGAGCAAAGAGAGAGAAAAAAGACAGAGAAAAAGACAGAGAAGAAAGAAAAAAAAGAAAAGAAAAGAGAAGAAAGAAAAGAGAGGGGAAAAAGACAGAGAAAAAAGACAGGAGGAGGAAAAAGACAGAGAAAAGAAAAGAAAGGGAAAAGCAAAGACAGAGAGAAGAAAAGACAGGAGGAGGAAAAGACAAGGAGAGGAAAAGACAAGGAGAGGAAAAGACAGAGAAAAGCAAAGACAGAGAAAAGAAATGACAGGGGGAGGAAAAGACAAGGAGAGGAAAGGACAGAGAAAAGAAAAGACAGAGAGAAGAAAAGACAGAGAGAAGAAAAGACAGAGAGAAGAAAAGACAGGGGAGGAAAAGACAAGGAGAGGAAAAGACAGAAAAAGAAAGAAAAGAAAGAGAAAAGAAGAGAAGAAAAGAGAGAAAAAAAAGACAGAGAAAAGAAGACAAAAAGAAAGAGAGAAGAGAAAAAGAAAAGACAGAGAAGAAAAGACAGAAGAAGAAAAGACAAGGAGGAAAAGAAAAAAAGAGAAAAAAAGAAAAAGAAAAGACAGAGAAAAAAAAAAGACAGAGAGAAGAAAAGACAAGGAGAGGGAAAAGACAGAGAGAAAGACAGAGAAAAGAAAAGACAGAGAGAAAAAGACAGAGAAAAGAAAAGACAGAGAAAAGAAAAGACAGAGAGGAGAAAAGACAGAGAGAAGAAAGAAGAGAGAGAAAAGACAGAAGAAAAGAAAAGACAGGGAGAGGAAAAGACAGAGAAAAAAGAAAAGAAAGAGAGAAAAAACAGAGAAAAAGAAGAAAAGAGAGAAAGACAAGAGAAAGAAAAGAAAAGAAAAAGAAAAGAAAAGACAGAGAAAAGAAAAGACAGAGAGAAAAAAAAAGACAGAGACAGAAAGAGAAAAAGACAAAGAGAAGAAAAGACAGAGAGAAAGAAAGAAAGAGAGAAGAAAAAGACAGAGAGAAGAAAAGACAGGGGGAGGAAAAGACAAGGAGAGGAAAAAGACAGAGAAAAGAAAAGACAGAGAGAAGAAAAGAAAGAAAGAAGAAAAAGAAAGGGGGACAGAGAGAAAAAGACAGAGAAAAGAAAAGACAGAGGAAAAAAGACAGAGAAAAGAAAAGACAGAGAGAAGAAAAGACAGGGGAGGAAAAGACAAGGAGAGGAAAAGAGAAAAGAAAAGACAGAGAGAAGAAAAGAGGAGAAGCAAAAGACAAGAGAGAAGAAAAGACAGAGAAAAGAAAAGACAGGAGAAAGAAAAGAAAAGAAAAGAGAAAAGAAAGAGAAAAAAGACAGAGAGAAGAAAAGACAGAGAAAGAAGAAGAGAAAAATAAAGGAGAGAAGAAAAGACAAGAGAGAAAAAAAGACAGAGAAAGAAAAAGACAGAGAAGAAAAAAAAAGGAGAAAAGAAAAGACAGGGAGAAGAAAAGACAAGGGGAGGAGAAAAAGACAAGGAGAAGAAAAGACAGAGAGAAGAAAAGACAGAGAGAAGAAAAGACAAGGAGAGGAAAAGACAAGGAGAGGAAAAGACAGAGAAAAGAAAAGACAGAGAGAAGAAAAGACAGGGAGAGGAAAAGAGAGAGAGGAAAAAAGACAGAGAAAAGAAAAGACAGAGAGAAAAGAAAAGAAGAGAAAAGAAAAAAGACAAAAGAAAAGACAGAGAGAGAAAAGACAGAGGGAGGAAAAGACAAGAGAAAGGAAAAGACAGAGAAAAAACAGGGGAGACAGAGAGAAGAAAAGACAGAGGGAAGAAAAGACAGAGAGAAAGAGGGAAAAAGACAGAGAGAAGAAAAGACAGAGAGAAGAAAAGACAGAGAGAAGAAAAGACAGAGAGAAGAAAAGACAGAGAGAAGAAAAGAAAAGGAAAGAAAAGACAGAGAAGAAAAGAGAGAAGAAAAGACAGGAGAGGAAAAGACAGAGAAAAGAAAAGACAGAGAAAAGAAAAGACAGAGAGAAGAAAAGACAGGGGGAGGAAAAGACAAGGAGAGGAAAAGACAGAGAAAAGAAAAGACAGAGAAAAGAAAAGAAAGGGAAAAGCAAAGACAGAGAGAAGAAAAGACAGGGGGAGGAAAAGACAAGGAGAGGAAAAGACAGAGAAAAGAAAAGACAGAGAATCAAAAGGAAAGACAGAAGGAAAAGACAGAAAGAAGAAAAGACAGAGAAAAGGGAAAAGAAAGAGAGAAGAAAAGACAGAGAAAAGAAAAGGAGAGGAAAAAGAAAGAAAAGACAGAGAGAAGAAAAGACAGGGGAGGAAAAGACAAGGAGAGGGAAAAGACAGAGAAAAGAAAAGACAGAGAGAAGAAAAACTGGGAAAAAGACAAGGAGAGGAAAAGACAGAGAAAAAGAAAAGAGAGGAGAAAAGAAAAAGAAAAAGACAGAAGAGAAGAAAAAGACAGAGAGAAAGAAAGACAGAGAAAAAGAAAAGACAGGAGGAGGGAAAAGACAAGGAAAAGAAAAGACAGAGAAAAGAAAAGACAGAGAGAGAAAAAGAAAAGACAAGAAAAATCCAAGGAGAGAAGAAAAGACAGAGAAAAGAAAAAGACAGAGAAAAGAAAGACAAGGGGAAAAGACAAAGACAGAAAAGACAGAAAAGAAAAGACAGAGAAAAAAGACAAGGGGGAGGAAAAGACAGAGGAGAAGAAAAAGACAGAGAGAAGAAAAGACAGAGAGAAGAAAAAAAGACAAGGAGAAGAAAAAAGACAGAGAAAAAGAAAAGGAGAGAAAAAAAGAAAGAGAAAAGAAAAGACAGAGAGAAGAAAAGACAGGGGAGGAAAAGACAAGGAGAGGAAAAGACAGAGAAAAGAAAAGACAGAGAGAAGAAAAGACAGGGGAGGAAAAGACAAGGAGAGGAAAAGACAGAGAAAAGAAAAGACAGAGAAAAGAAAAGAAAGGGAAAAGCAAAGACAGAGAGAAGAAAAGACAGGGGGAGGAAAAGACAAGGAGAGGAAAAGACAGAGAAAAGAAAAGACAGAGAAAAGAAATGACAGGGGGAGGAAAAGACAAGGAGAGGAAAAGAAAAAAAAAGAAAGAGAGAAAAAAGAAAGGGGACAGAGAAAAAAGAAAGAAAGAGAGGAAAAAGACAGAGAGGAGAAAAGACAGAGAGAAAAAAGACAGAGAGAAGAAAACAAGGAGAGGAAAAGACAAGGAGAGAAAAGACAGAGAAAAGAAAAAGAGAGAAAAAAAAACAGGGGAGGAAAAAAGAGAGAAGAAAAAGACAGAGAAAAGAAAGACAGAGAGAGGAAAAAGACAGAGAAAAAGAAAAGACAGAGAGAAGAAAAGACAGAGAAAAGAAAAGACAGAGAAAAAAAAGACAGAAAAGGAAAAGAAAAGACAGAGAAAAGAAAGAGACAGAAAAGAAAAAGACAGAGAAAAAAAAAGACAGAGGGAGGAAAAGACAGAGAGAGAGAAAAGACAGAAAAAAAAGACAGAGAAAAGAAAAAAAGACAGGAAAAAAAAAGACAGAGAGAAGAAAAGACAGGAGGGTCTGAAGACAAGGAGAGGAAAAGACAAGAAAAGAAAAAGACAGAGAAAAGAAAAAAACAGAGAAAAGAAAAAGACAGAGAGAAGAAAAGACAGGGAAAGAAAGAAGAGAAAGACAGGGGAGAAAAGAAAAGACAGAGAGAAAAGAAAAGACAGAGAAAAGAAAAGACAGAGAGAAAGAAAAAGACATGGAGGAAAAGACAAGGAGAGGAAAAAGACAGAGAAAAGAAAAGACAGAGAGAAAGAAAAGACAGGGGAGGAAAGACAGAGGAGAGGAAAAGACAGAGAAAAGAAAAAGACAGAGAAAAGAAAAGACAGAGAAAAGAAAACAGAGGAGAAAAAAAAGACAGAAAGAGAGAAAAGACAGAGAGAAGAAAAAGACAGGGAAAAAGACAAGGAGAGGAAAGACAGAGAAAAGAAAAGACAGAGAAAAGAAAAGACAGGGGGAGGAAAAGACAAGGAGAGGAAAAAAGACAGAGAAAAGAAAAGACAGAGAGAAAAAAAAAGACAGAGAAGGGAGGAAAAGACAAGGAGAGAGAAGGAAAAGAGAAGAAAAGAAAGATCTCAAAGACAGAGAAAGAAAAGAAAGAGAAAAAAAGAAAAGAAGAAAGACAGAGGAAAAGACAAGGAGAGGAAAAGACAGAGAAAAGAAAAGACAGAGAAAAGAAAAGACAGAGAGAAGAAAAGACAGAGAGAAGAAAAGACAGGGGGAGGAAAAGACAAGGAGAGGAAAAGACAGAGAAAAGAAAAGACAGAGAAAAGAAAAGAAAGGGAAAAGCAAAGACAGAGAGAAGAAAAGACAGGGAAAGAAAAAGACAAGGAGAGGAAAGACAGAGAAAAAGAAAAGACAGAGAGGAAAAGAAATGACAGGGGGAGGAAAAAGAAAAGGAAAAGAAAGGAGGAAAAAAGACAAGAGAGAAAGAAAGACAGAGAAAAGAAAAGACAGGGGAAGAAAAGACAGAGAGAGGAAAAGACAGAGAAAAGAAAAGACAAGAGAGAAGAAAAGACAGGGAGAGAAAAGACAAAAAGGAAAAGACAGAGGAAACTCAAGACAGAGAAAAGAAAAAGAGAAGAAAAGACAGAAAAGAAAAGAGAAAGAAAAAGACAGGGGGAAGGAAAAGACAAGGAGAGGAAAGACAAGGAAAAGAAAGAGAAAAGAAAAGACAGAGAAAAGAAAAGACAGGGGAAAAAGGAAAAGACAAGGAGAGGAAAAAACAGAGAAAAGAAAAGAGAGAGAAGAAAAGACAGAGAGAAAAAAGACAGAGGAAGAAAAGACAGAGGAGAGGAAAAGAAAAGAAAAGAAAAAGAAAGACAGAAAGAAAAGACAGAGAGAAGAAAAGACAAAGGAAAAGACAAGAGGAAAAGAAAAAAACAAAAGAGAGAAGAAAAAAACAGAGAGAAAGAAAAACACAGAGAAAAAAAGAAAAAGAAAAAAAAGACAGAAAAGACAGAGAGAAGAAAAAGACAGGGGAGAGGAAAAAGGAAAAGAAAAAAGAGAAAGACAGAGAGAAGAAAAGACAGAGAGAAGAAAAGACAGAGAGAAGAAAAGACAGGGGGAGGAAAAGACAAGGAGAGGAAAAGACAGAGAAAAGAAAAGACAGAGAGAAGAAAAGACAGAGAGAAGAAAAGACAGAGAGAAGAAAAGACAGGGAGAGGAAAAGACAGAGAAAAGAAAAGACAGAGAGAAGAAAAGAAAGAGAAAAGAAAAGACAGAGAGAAAGAAAAGACAGGGGGAGGAAAAGAAAAGGAAAGAGAAAAGAAAGAGAGAAAGAGAAAAGAAAAGAGAAAAGAAAGAGAGAAAAAGAAAAGACAGAGAGAAAAAAGAAAAGAGACAAAGAGAGAAAAGACAAAAGAAAAGACAGAAAAAAAGACAAGAGAAAAAGAAAAGAGTCTAAAAAGAAAGAAAAGAGAAAAGAAAAGACAGAGAAAAGAAAAGACAGAGAGAAGAAAAGACAAGGGAGGAAAGACAAAGAGAGAGAAAAAGACAGAGAGAAAGAAAAAGACAGAGAGAAGAAAGAGAGAGAAAAGAAAAGAAAAGAAAAGACAGAGAAAAGAAAAGAAAGAGAAAAGAAAGAGAGAGAGAAGAAAAGACAGAGAGAAGGAAAGACAAGAAAAGGAAAAGAGAGAGAGAAAAGAAAAGACAGAGAGAAGAAAAGACAGAGAGAAGAAAAGACAGAGAGAGAGAAAAGACAAGGAGAAAAAAAGAGAGAGAAAAAAAAGACAAGAGAGAAAAAAAAGAAAAAGAAAAAAAAAAAGACAGAAGAAGAAAAGACAGAGAAAGAAAAGACAAGAGAGAGAAAGACAATGGAAGGAAAAGACAGAGAGAAGAAAAGAAAAGAGAAAAAAAAGACAGAGAAAAAGAAAAGACAGAGAGAAGAAAAAGAAAAAGAAAAGAAAGACAGAAGAAGAAAAAAAGACAGAGAAAAGAAAGACAAAGAGAGAAAAAGAGAGAGAAAAGAAAAAGACAAAACAGAGAGAGAAGAAAAAGACAGAGAGAAGAAAAGACAAAGAGAGAAAGAAAAAGAGAGAAAGAAAAAGACAGAAAAGAAAAAGAGAAGAAAGAAAAGAAAAGACAGAGAGAAGAAAAGACAGAGAAAAGAAAGAGAAAGAGAAGAAAAAGAAAGAAACAAAAAAGAAAAGACAAGGGAGAGAGAAAAGACAGAGAAAAGAAAAGACAGAGAAAGAAAAAAGAGAAAAAAAAAGACAGAGAAAAAAAGACAGGGGAGGAAAAGACAAGGAGAGGAAAAGAAAAGACAGGAAAAAAAGAAAAAGACAAGAGAGAGAAGAAAAGACAGAAAAGAAAAGAAAAGACAGAGAAAAGAAAAGAAAAGACAAAAAAGAAAGAGAAAAGAAAAGAAGAAAAAAAGAAAGAGAAAAGAAAGAGAGAAAAGAAAAGACAGAGAGAAGAAAAGACAGGGGAGAAAAGACAAAGAGAGGAAAAGAAAGAGAAAACAAAGAGACAGAGAAAAGAAAAGACAGAGAGAAGAAAAGACAGAGAGAAGAAAGACAAGGAGAGGAAAAGACAAGAGAGAAGAAAAAGACAGAGAAAAGAAAAGAAAGAGAGAAAAAAAGAAAAAGGAAAGAAAAGAAAAGGAGAGGAAAAAGAAAGAGAAAAGAAAAGACAGAGAAGAAGAAAGAAGAGAGAAGAAAAGACAGAGAGAAGAAAGACAAGAGGAGAAAGAGAAAAGAAAGAAAAAAAGAGAAAGAAAAGAAAAAGAAAAGAAGAGAGAAAAGAAAAAGAAAGAGAAGAAATGAAAAGACAAGGGAGGAAAAGACAAGGAGAGGGAAAAGACAGAGAAAAAGAAAAGAGACAGAGAGAAGAAAAGACAGAGAGAAGAAAAGACAGAGAGAAGAAAAGACAAGGAGAGGAAAAGAAAAAGAAAAAAAAAGAGAGAGAAAAGAAAAGACAGAGAGAAAAGAAGAGAAGAGAGAAAGAAAAGACAGAGAGAGAAAAAAGAGAAAAGGAGAGGAAAAGACAGAAAGGAAAAAAGACAGAGAGAAGAAAAGACAGAGAGAAAAGAAAAGGGGGAGAGAAAAGACAAGAGAGAAGAAAAGACAGAGAAAAGAAAAGACAGAGAGAAGAAAAGACAGGGAGAGAAAAGACAAAAGAGAGGAAAAAGACAGAGAAAAGAAAAGACAGAGAGAAGAAAAAGACAGAGGAGAGAAAAGACAAGAAAAGAGAAAAAGACAGAGAGAAGAAAAAGACAGAGAAAGGAAAAGACAAGAAAAGAAAAGAAAAGAGAAAAAAGACAGGGGAGAAAAGAAAGAGGAAGAGAGAAAAGAAAAGACAGAGAGAAGAAAAGACAGAGAAAAAAGAAAAGGAGAGGAAAAGAAAGAGAAAAGACAGAGAGAAGAAAAGAAGGGGAGAAGAAAAGACAGAGAGAAAAAGACAAAGAAAGGAAAAAGAGAAAAAAGACAGAGAGAAGAAAAGACAGGGGGAGGAAAAGACAAGGAGAGGAAAAGACAGAGAAAAGAAAAGACAGAGAGAAGAAAAGACAGAGAAAAGAAAAGACAGAGAGAAGAAAAGACAGGGGAGGAAAAGACAAGGAGAGGAAAAGACAGAGAAAAGAAAAGACAGAGAGAAGAAAAGACAGAGAAAAGAAAAGACAGAGAGGGGGAGGAAAGACAAGGAGAGGAAAAGAAAAGGAAAGAAAAAGAGAAGAAAAGACAGAGAGAAGAAAAGAGAGAGAGAGAAGAAAAGACAGGGGAAGAAAAGACAAGGAAAAGAAAAAGACAGAGAAAGAAAAGAAAGAGAAAAGAAAAGACAGAGAGAAGAAAAGAGAGACAAGGAGAGGAAAAGACAAGGAGAGGAAAAGACAGAGAAAAGAAAAGACAGAGAGAAAAAGAAGAAGAAAAGAAAAGGGGAGGAAAAGACAAGGAGAGGAAAAGAAAGAAAAGAAAGAGAGAAAAGAAAAGAGAGAGAAAAGTAAAAGACAGAGAGAAGAAAAGACAGGGGGAGGAAAAGACAAGGAGAGGAAAAGACAGAGAAAAAGAAAAGACAGAGAGAAGAAAAAGAAGGGAGGAAAAAAAGACAGAGACAGAAAAAAAAAAGAGACAGAAAAGGGAGAGAAGAAAAGACAAAGAAAACACGTTAAACAGAAAAAAGAAAGAGAAAAAGAAAAAAAGACAGAGAGAAGAAAAGAAAGGGAAAAGGAAAGACAGAGAGAAGAAAAGAAAGGGGGAGAAAAGAAAGAAAAGACAAGAGAGAAGAAAAGACAGAGAGAAGAAAACAAAAGGGGGAGAAAGAAAAGGAAAGGGAAAGAAAGACAGAGAGAAAAAAAGAAGAGAGAAGAGAAGAGAGAAGACAAGGGGAGGAAAAGACAAGGAGAGAAAAGAAAAGGGAAAAGAAAAGAAAGAGAAAAAGAAAAGACAGAGAGGGAGAAAAGACAGAGAAAAAGAAAAAGAGGGAAAGAGAAAAGAAAAGACAGAGAGAGAAAAGACAGAGAGAAGAAAAGACAGACAGAAGAAAAAGAGGAGGAAAAAGAAAAGGAGAGAAAAAGACAGAGAGAGAAAAGAAAAGACAGAGAAAAATGAGAAAGAGAAAAGAAAAGACAGGAGGAAAAGAAAGAGAAAGAGGAAAGATGGCAAAGAGAGAAGAAAAGAAAAGAGAAGAAAAGAACAGAGAGAAGAAAAGACAAAAGAAAAGGGGAAAGAAAAGACAAGAGAAAGAAAAGAAGAGAAAAAGAAAAGACAGAGAGAAGAAAAGACAGAGAGAAGAAAAGGGATTGAGAAAAGGCAGAGAAAAAAAAAGACAGAAAAGTGAATGGACAGAGAAAAAAAGGGACAGATTTTAGAGAAAAAGACAGAGAGAAAAAAAAGACAGAGAGATACCTCTTTAAGACAGAGAGAGGAAAAGAGAAGATTGACAAGGAAGAAAAGACAGAGAGAAGAAAAGGGATTGGAAGAAAAGAAAGATGGAGAGAAAGAAAAGACAGGGGAGGAAAAGACAGAGAAAGAAAAAGACAGAGAAAAAAAAATGGCAGAGAGAAGAAAAAGAAGATTTTAGATGGCAGAGAGAAGAAAAAGACAGAGATTTTAAAAATGGCAGAGAAAAAAAGGATCGAGGAGAAAATGGCAGAGAGAAGAAAAGATTGTGATTTTACTGGATGGCAGAGAGAAGGAAGGAAAAGACAGAGAAAAGAAAGCAGAAAAGAAAAGAGAAAAGAAAAATGGCAGAGAGAAAAAAAGATTTTACAGGGGGCAGAGAGAAGAAAAGGAGAAAGAAAAGACTGGATGGCAGAAGAAAAAAGACAGAGATTTTAGAAATGGCAGAGAGAAGAAAAGACAGGGGAGGAAAAGACTGGATGGCAGAGAAAGAAAAGAGAAAAGATTTTACTGGATGAAAAGAAAAAAGAGAGAATTTTAAAAGATGGCAGAGAGAAGAAAAGAGAGGTGGAGGGAAAAGATGGCAGAGAGAAGAAAAGACAGAGATTTTAATGGCAGAAAAGAAAAACGGAGTGATTTTACTGGATGGCAGAGAGAAGAAAAAAAGAAGACAATGGCAGAGAGAAGAAAAGATTGAGATTTTACTGGATGGCAGAGAGAAAAAGACAGGATTGTGAAAGACTGGATGGCAGAGAAAAGAAAAGGGAGAAGAAAACTGATTGAGAAAAGAAAAGGCAGAGAGAGAAAAGAAAGAAATTTTAAAGGATGGGAGAAGAGAGAAGAAAAGAAAGGATTGTGATTTTACTGGATGGCAGAGAGAAGAAAAGAGTTTGTGATTTTACTGGATGGCAGAGAGAAAAAAGACAGAGAGAAGAAAAGATGGAGAGAAAGAAAAGGGATTGATTTTAAAAGATGGCAGAGAAGAAAGAAAATTTTACAGAGAGAAGAAAAAGGATTGTGATTTTAAAGGATGGCAGAGAGAAGAAAAGGTTTGTGATTTTACTGGATGGCAGAGAAAAAAAAAGGAGAGAGATGGCAGAAAGAAAACAGTTTGTGATTTTACTGGATGAAGAGAGAGAAAAAGGATTGAGATTTTACTGGATGGCAGAGAGAAAAAAGGATTGAGAAAAGACTGGATGGCAGAGAAAGAAAAGATTTTTACTGGATGGCAGAGAGAAGAAAACGGTTTGTGATTTTACTGGATGGCAGAGAAAGAAAAGAGTTTGATTTTACTGGATGGCAGAGAGAAAAAAGAGTTTGTGATTTTACTGGATGGCAGAGAGAAGAAAACGGTTTGTGATTTTACTGATGGCAGAGAGAAAAAAAGATTGTGATTTTACTGGATGGCAGAGAGAAGAAAAACAGATTGTGATTTTACTGGATGGCAGAGAAAAGAAAAGGGTTTGTGATTTTACTGATGGCAGAGAGAAAAAAACAGAGAGAAGATTTTACTGGATGGCAGAGAGAAGAAAAAGGAGGATTTTTACTGGATGGCAGAGAGAAAAAAAGGTTTGTGATTTTACTGGATGGCAGAGAGAAGAAAAGGGATTTGAAATGGCAGAGAGAAGAAAAGGATTGTGATTTTAGGATGGCAGAGAGAAAAAAGGTTTGTGATTTTACTGGATGGCAGAGAAAGAAAAGAGATTGTGATTTTACTGGATGGCAGAGAGAAGAAAAGAAAAGATTTTACTGGATGGCAGAGAGAAAAAAAGGTTTGTGATTTTACTGGATGGCAGAGAGAAGAAAAGGTTTGTGATTTTACTGGATGGCAGAGAGAAAAAACAGAAAAGGTTGTGATTTTACTGGATGGCAGAGAGAAGAAAAAGATTTTACTGGATGGCAGAGAGAAGAAAAGGATTGTGATTTTACTGGATGGCAGAGAGAAGAAAAGGGGGTGGATTTTACTGGATGGCAGAGAGAAAAAAGGGTTTGTGATTTTACTGGATGGCAGAGAGAAAAAAAAGATTTTACTGGATGAGAAGAAGAAAAAGTTTTGATTTTAATGGCAGAGAAGAAAAAAAGGGGGATTGTGATTTTACTGGATGGCAGAGAGAAGAAAAGGGTTTGTGATTTTACTGGATGGCAGAGAGAAGAAAGACATTGTGATTTTACTGGATGGCAGAGAAAGAAAAAGGATTGTGATTTTACTGGATGGCAGAGAAAAGAAAAGGTTTGTGATTTTACTGATGGCAGAGAAAAAAAAGGGTTTGTGATTTTACTGGATGGCAGAGAGAAGAAAAGAGTTTGTGGGATGGCAAAAAAAAAAAGGAGAAAGAGGGAAAAAAGAGGAAAACTGGATGGCAGAGAGAAGAAAAGGGATTGTGATTTTACTGGATGGCAGAGAAAAAAAGGATTGTGATTTTACTGGATGGCAGAGAGAAGAAAAGGATTGTGATTTTACTGGATGGCAGAGAGAAGAAAAGGTTTTGTGATTTTACTGGATGGCAGAGAGAAGAAAAGGATTGAGATTTTACTGGATGGCAGAGAGAAGAAAGAAAAGGATTGCAATTTTACTGGATGGCAGAGAGAAGAAAAGGAGAGATTTTAAAGGATGGCAGAGAGAAAAAAGAGAGAAGAAAGGTTTGTGATTTTACTGGATGGCAGAGAGAAGAAAAGGAGTGATTTTACTGGATGGCAGAGAGAAGAAAATGGCAGAGAGAAGAAAAAGGCATTTTTGAATGGAAGAGAAGAAAAGGGATGGATGGCAGAGAAGAAAAAACGGTTTGTGATTTTACTGGATGGCAGAGAGAAGAAAAGACAGATTTTACTGGATGGCAGAGAGAAGAAAAAACGGATTGTGATTTTACTGGATGGCAGAGAGAAGAAAAGGGATTGTGATTTTACTGGATGGCAGAGAGAAGAAAAGGTTTGTGATTTTACTGGATGGCAGAGAGAAGAAAAGAGATTGTGATTTTACTGGATGGCAGAGAAGAAAAAAACAGAGAGAAACTGGATGGCAGAGAGAAGAAAAGATTGTGATTTTACTGGATGGCAGAGAAGAAAAGGGATTGTGATTTTACTGGATGGCAGAGAAAAGAAAACGAAAAAGGCAGAGAAGAAAAGAAAAAGATTGTGATTTTACTGGATGGCAGAGAGAAGAAAAGGGATTGTGATTTTACTGGATGGCAGAGAGAAAGAAAAGGGTTTGTGATTTTACTGGATGGCAGAGAGAAAAAAGGATTGTGATTTTAAAGGATGGCAGAGAGAAGAAAAGGGTTTGTGATTTTACTGGATGGCAGAGAAAGAAAACAGTTTGAATTTTACTGGATGGCAGAGAGAAAGAAAACTGATTTTTACTGGATGGCAGAGAGAAAAAAAAGATTGTGATTTTACTTGGATGGCAGAGAAAGAAAAACGGTTTTAGATTTTACTGGATGGCAGAGAAAGAAAACGGTTTGTGATTTTACTGGATGGCAGAGAGAAAAAAGGGATTGTGATTTTTAAAGAGAAGAAAAGGGATTGTGATTTTACTGGATGGCAGAGAGAAGAAAACAGTTTGGATTTTACTGGATGGCAGAGAGAAGAAAAGGGTTTTGTGATTTTACTGGATGGCAGAGAGAAGAAAAGGATTGTGATTTTACTGGATGGCAGAGAGAAAAAGAAAAAGAAAGAAAAGGGTTTGTGATTTTACTGGATGGCAGAAGAAGAAAAGAGGGAGTGATTTTACTGGATGGCAGAGAGAAGAAAAGGATTGTGATTTTACTGGATGGCAGAGAGAAAAAAGGATTGTGATTTTACTGGATGGCAGAGAGAAGAAAAAGGGATTGTGATTTTTACTGGATGGCAGAGAGAAGAAAAGACTGGATGGCAGAGAAAGAAAAGGATTGTGATTTTACTGGATGGCAGAGAGAACTGGATGAAAGAAAAGGGATTGTGATTTTACTGGATGGCAGAGAGAAGAAAAGAAAAGTTTGTGATTTTACTGGATGGCAGAGAAAAAAAAATTGTGATTTTACTGGATGGCAGAGAAAGAAAAGGATTGAGATTTTACTGGATGGCAGAGAGAGAAAAAGGGTTTGTGATTTTACTGGATGGCAGAGAGAAGAAAAGGGATTGTGATTTTTTTTAAATGGCAGAGAGAAGAAAAGGATTGTGATTTTTACTGGATGGCAGAGAGAAGAAAAAAGGGATTTGTGATTTTACTGGATGGCAGAAGAAAAGAAGAAAATGGCAGAAATTTTACTGGATGGCAGAGAGAAGAAAAGGGATTGTGATTTTTACTGGATGGCAGAGAGAAAAAAAGGGATTGTGATTTTACTGATGGCAGAGAGAATTTTACTGGATGGCAGAGAAAAAAAGGATTGTGATTTTACTGGATGGCAGAGAGAAGAAAAAAGGTTTGTGATTTTTACTGGATGGCAGAGAAAAAAGACAGAGAGATTTTACTGGATGGCAGAGAGAAAAAAAGTTTGTGATTTTACTGGATGGCAGAGAGAAGAAAAGGGATTGTGATTTTACTGGATGGCAGAGAGAAGAAAACGGTTTGTGATTTTACTGGATGGCAGAGAGAAGAAAAGGGATTGTGATTTTACTGGATGGCAGAGAGAAGAAAAGGGTTTGTGATTTTACTGGATGGCAGAGAGAAGAAAAGGGATTGTGATTTTACTGGATGGCAGAGAGAAGAAAGAGTGATTTTACTGGATGGCAGAGAGAAGAAAAGAAACTGGATGGCAGAGAGAAAAGGAAAAGGATGGCAGAGAAAAGAAAAACTGGATGACAGAGAAAAAAGGGTTTGTGATTTTACTGATGAGAGAGAAAAAGAATTTTACTGGATGGCAGAGAGAAGAAAAGGGGTTTGTGATTTTACTGGATGGCAGAGAAGAAAAGGTTTGTGATTTTACTGGATGGCAGAGAAGAAGAAAAAGATTTTACTGGATGGCAGAGAGAAAAAAGGGATTGTGATTTTACTGGATGGCAGAGAGAAGAAAAGGATTGATTTTACTGGATGAGAGAGAAGAAAAGATTGATTTTACTGGATGGCAGAGAAAAAAGGTTTGTGAAAAAAAAGGAGTGATTTTACTGGATGGCAGAGAAAAAAAAGGATTGTGATTTTACTGGATGGCAGAGAGAAGAAAAAATTTTACTGGATGGCAGAAGAAGAAAAGGGTTTGTGATTTTACTGGATGGCAGAGAGAAGAAAAGGGATTGTGATTTTACTGGATGGCAGAGAGAAAAGAAAAGACAAATTTTAGAAAAGGGAAAGATGAAGAAAAGTGATTTTACTGGATGGCAGAGAGAAGAAAACTGGAGTGATTTTAAAATGGCAGAGAGAATGAAAAAAGGTTTGTGATTTTAAAATGGCAGAGAGAGAAAACGGTTTGTGATTTTACTGGATGGGAAAAAGAGAAAAAAAGGGATTGTGATTTTACTTGATGGCAGAGAAGAAAAAAAAAGTTGTGATTTTACTGGATGGCAGAGAAAAAAAACGGTTGTGAGAGAAAGATTTTACTGAATGAGAGAAAAAAAAAGGATTGTGAAAAGACTGAGAGGCAAAAGAAAAGGATTGTGATTTTACTGGATGGCAGAGAGAAGAAAAGACATTTTACTGAAAATAAAAAGGTTTTTTTTGGAGAGAGAAAGAAGAAAAAACAGAGTGATTTTACTGGATGGCAGAGAGAAGAAAAGGTTGATGATTTTACTGGATGGCAAAACTGGATGGCAGAGAGAAAAAAAGGGATTGTGATTTTACTGGATGGCAGAGAAAAAAAAGGGTTTGTGATTTTACTGGATGGCAGAGAGAAGGTTTGTGATTTTACTGGATGGCAGAGAAAGAAAAAAGACAGAGAAAAGATTTTACTGGATGGCAGAGAAAGAAAAGAAAATGGCAGAGAGAAGAAAAAGACAGGATGGCAGAAGAAAAAGACAGTGATTTTACTGGATGGCAGAGAAAAGACAAGGAAAAGAAAAGAGAAGAAAACGAGGTGAGAGATGGCAGAGAAAAAAGGATTGTGATTTTAAAATGGCAGAGAAAAAGAAAAAGGAAAAAACATTTTACTGGATGGCAGAGAAAAGAAAAGGTTTGTGATTTTACTGGATGGAGAGAAAAAAAGGAGAGAGATTTTACTGGATGGCAGAGAAAAAAGGAGAAATTTTACTGGATGGCAGAGAGAAGAAAAGGTTTGTGATTTTACTGGATGGCAGAGAGAAAAAATTGTGATTTTAAAAGATGGCAGAGAGAAGAAAACAGTTTGTGATTTTACTGGATGGCAGAGAAAAGAAAAGGGATTGTGATTTTACTGGATGGCAGAGAGAAAAAAAAAGATTGTGATTTTACTGGATGGCAGAGAAAAGAAAAGGAGGAATTTTACTGGATGGCAGAGAAAAAAAGAGATTGTGAAAAGACTGGATGGCAGAGAAAAGAAAAGGAATTTTACTGGATGGCAGAGAAAAAGAGTTGAGGATGGCAGAGAGAAAAAAAGACAGTGATTTTAAAGGATGGCAGAGAGAAAAAAGACATTGTGATTTTTACTGGATGGCAGAGAGAAGAAAAGGGATTGTGATTTTAAAAGATGGCAGAGAGAAAAAACAGAGAAAAGATTTTACTGGATGGCAGAGAAAGAAAAGGATTGTGATTTTACTGGATGGCAGAGAAAGAAAAGAAAACTGGATGGCAGAGAAAAAACACAGAGAAAAAATGGCAGAGAGAAGAAAAGAGTTTGTGATTTTACTGGATGGCAGAGAGAAGAAAAGACAGAGATTTTAATGGATGGCAGAGAAAAGAAAAGGAGTGATTTTACTGGATGGCAGAGAAGAAAAGAAAAAGAAAGAAAGAAGAAAAGATTTTACTGGATGGCAGAGAAAGAAAAAGAAAATGGCAGAGAAAAAAAGACAGAGAAAGAAAAGAAGGTTTTGAAATGATTTTAAAGATGGCAGAGAGAAGAAAAGAAGGATTGGATTTTAGGATGGCAGAGAAGAAAAAAATTTTACAGGATGGCAGAGAAAAGAAAGAGGAAAACAGACAGATTTTACTGGAAAAGAGAGAAGAAAAGACAGATGGCAGAGAGAAAAAAGAGAGTGAAAAGGATGGCAGAGAGAAGAAAGGGTTTGTGATTTTACTGGATGGCAGAGAGAGAAAAGGGTTTGTGAAAACTGGATGGCACAGAGAAAAAAAATTTTACTGGATGGCAGAGAGAAGAAAATGGTTTGAAACTGGATGGCAGAAGAAAAGGTTTGTGATTTTACTGGATGGCAGAGAAAGAAAAGGGATTGTGATTTTACTGGATGGCAGAGAGAAAAAAGACAGAGAAAAAGATTTTAATGGCAGAGAGAAGAAAGACATTGAAAGAGAAAAGAAAAGACAGAGAGAAGAAAAGACAGGGGGAGGAAAAGACAGAGAAGAGAAAAGACAGGAGAAAAAGGATTGTGAAAAGACAGCAGAAAAGAAAAAGACAGAGAGAAAATAGACAGAGAAAAGAAAAGACAGAGAGAAAAAAAGACAGAGAAAAAAATGACAGAGAGAAAGAAAAGACAGAGAAAAGAAAAGATTGTGGAGAGGAAGAAAAGAAAGGGATTATGAAGAAAAGAGTCAAAGAAAAGAAAAAGAAGACAGAGAGAAGAAAAGACAGAGGGAAAGAAGAAAAAAGACTGAAAAAAAAACAGAGAGAACTGGATGAAAAGACAGAGAAAGAAAAGACAGAAAGGAAAAGACAAGGAGAAAAAAAGACAGAGAAAAGAAAAGACAGAGAAAAAGAATTTTTTGGGAGGCAGAAAAGAAAAAAGAAAAACTGGACAGAGAAAAGAAAAGACAGAGAAAAGAAAAGACAAGAAAAGAAATGACTGGATGGAGAGAAAAAGACAGGGAGATTTTAAGACAGAGAGAAAAGACAGAGAGAAGAAAAGACAGGGGAAGAAAAGACAGAGAAAAGAAAAGAGACAGAGAAAAAAAAGACAGAGAAAAGAAAAAAGACAGAGAAGAAATGACAGAGAAAAGAAAAGACAGAGAGAAGAAAAGACAGGGGAGGAAAAAGACAAGAAGAGGAAAAAAGACAGAGAAAAGAAAAGACAGAGAGAAGAAAAGACAGAGGGGAGGAAAAGACAGAGAAAAGAAAAGACAGAGAAAAAAAAAGACAGAGAAAAGAAAAGAAAGGGAAAAGCAAAGACAGAGAGAAGAAAAGACAGGGGGAGGAAAAGACAAGGAGAGGAAAAGACAGAGAAAAGAAAAGACAGAGAGAAGAAAAGACAGGGGGAGGAAAAGACAGAGAAAAGAAAAGACAGAGAAAAGAAAAGACAGAGAAAAGAAAAGACAGAGAGAAGAAAAGACAGAGAGAAGAAAAGACAGAGAGAAGAAAAGACAGGGGGAGGAAAAGACAAGGAGAGGAAAAGACAGAGAAAAGAAAAGACAGAGAGAAGAAAAGACACAGGGGGAGGAAAAGACAGAGAAAAGAAAAGACAGAGAAAAAAAGACAGAGAAAAAAAAGACAGAGAGAAAAGAAATGACAGAGAAAGAAAAGACAGAGAAAAGAAAAGCAGAGAGAAGAAAAGACAGAAAAGAGAGGGAAAAGACAGAGAAAAGAAAAGACAGAGAGAAGAAAAAGACAGGGGGAGGAAAAGACAGAGAAAAGAAAAAGACAGAGAAAAAAAAAAGACAGAGAAAAAGAAAAGACAGAGAGAAGAAATGACAGAGAAAAAAAGACAGAGAGAAGAAAAGACAGGGGGAGGAAAAAGACAAGGAGAGGAAAAAGACAGAGAAAATAAAAGACAGAGAGAAGAAAAAAACAGGGGGGAGGAAAAAAGACAAGAAAGGAAAAAGACAGAGAAAAAAGAAAGACAGAGAAAAAAAAGAAGACTGAGAAAAGAAAAGACAGAGAGAAGAAAAGACAGGGGGAGGAAAAGACAAGGAGAGGAAAAGACAGAGAAAAGAAAAGACAGAGAGAAGAAATGACAGAGAAAAAGAAAGAAAAGAAGAAAGAAGAAAAGACAGGGGAGGAAAAGACAAGGAGGAAAAGACAGAGAAAAGAAAAAGACAGAGAGAAAAAGACAGAGAAAAAGAAAAGATAGAGAGAAGAAAAGACAAAGAAAAGAAAAGACAGAGAAGAAAAGACAGGGGAGGAAAAGACAAGGAGAGGAAAAGACAGAGAAAAGAAAGGCAGAGAGAAGAAATGACAGGGGGAGGAAAAGACAAGGAGAGGAAAAGACAGAGAAAAGAAAAGACAGAGAGAAGAAAAGACAGGGGGAGGAAAAGACAGAGAAAAGAAAAGACAGAGAAAAAAAAAAGACAGAGAAAAGAAAAGACAGAGAGAAGAAATGACAGAGAAAAGAAAAGACAGAGAGAAGAAAAGACAGGGGAGGAAAAGACAAGGAGAGGAAAAAGACAGAGAAAAGAAAAGACAGAGAGAAGAAAAGACAGGGGGAGGAAAAGACAGAGAAAAGAAAAAACAGAGAAAAAAAAAGACAGAGAAATGAAAAGACAGAGAGAAGAAATGACAGAGAAAAAAAAGACAGAGAGAAGAAAAGACAGGGGGAGGAAAAGACAAGGAGAGGAAAAGACAGAGAAAAGAAAAGACAGAGAGAAGAAAAGTCAGGGGGAGGAAAAGACAAGGAGAGGAAAAGACAGAGAAAAGAAAAGACAGAGAGAAGAAAAGACAGGGGGAGGAAAAGACAGAGAAAAGAAAAGACAGAGAAAAGAAAAGACAGAGAGAAGAAATGACAGAGAAAAGAAAAGACAGAGAGAAGAAAAGACAGGGAAAAGCAAAGACAGAGAGAAGAAAAGACAGGGGGAGGAAAAGACAAGGAGAGGAAAAGACAGAGAAAAGAAAAGACAGAGAGAAGAAATGACAGGGGGAGGAAAAGACAAGGAGAGGAAAAGACAGAGAAAAGAAAAGACAGAGAGAAGAAAAGACAGGGGGAGGAAAAGACAGAGAAAAGAAAAGACAGAGAAAAAAAAAGACAGAGAAAAGAAAAGACAGAGAGAAGAAATGACAGAGAAAAGAAAAGACAGAGAGAAGAAAAGACAGGGGGAGGAAAAGACAAGGAGAGGAAAAGACAGAGAAAAGAAAAGACAGAGAGAAGAAAAGACAGGGGGAGGAAAAGACAGAGAAAAGAAAAGACAGAGAAAAAAAAAGACAGAAATGAAAAAGACAGAGAGAAGAAAAAGACAGAGAAAAGAAAAGACAGAGAGAAGAAAAGACAGGGGGAGGAAAAGACAAGGAGAGGAAAAGACAGAGAAAAGAAAAGACAGAGAGAAGAAAAGTCAGGGGGAGGAAAAGACAAGGAGAGGAAAAGACAGAGAAAAGAAAAGACAGAGAGAAGAAAAGACAGGGGGAGGAAAAGACAGAGAAAAGAAAAGACAGAGAAAAAAAAAGACAGAGAAAAGAAAAGACAGAGAGAAGAAATGACAGAGAAAAGAAAAGACAGAGAGAAGAAATGACAGGGGGAGGAAAAGACAAGGAGAGGAAAAGACAGAGAAAAGAAAAGACAGAGAGAAGAAAAGACCGAAAGAAGAAAAGAGAGAGAGAAGAAAAGACAGGGGGAGGAAAAGACAAGGAGAGGAAAAGACAGAGAAAAGCAAAGACAGAGAGAAGAAGAGACAGAGAAAAGCAAAGACAGAGAAAAACAAAGACAGAGAAAAGAAAAGACAGAGAGAAGAAAAGACAGAGAAAAGAAAAGACAGATAAGAGAAAAGACTGAGGGAAGAAAAGACAGAGGAAATACAAACGAAATATGATTAACCGATTATAGTCAAACAACTACTATAATAATTTCAATACTTACTTAACCCGCAACTCTTGAAGACTTGTGTTATATTTAGGACTATTTTGTAAATATTGGTGATACTACTCTACTCTACTAATAATATATAGACCGGAATAGAGAACAGTACTTTAATATGGCATTTTGTTAATCGTGTAGTGAATTAAATCCTTACTGTATTATTGGCATTTGGGGTTATGAGCCAGACATGTTTGATCTGGAATCTGTGTTCCATTTGTAGTTTTGCATGCTGACTTCAAGGGGAAAGTAAGGTATATTTACAAGGATGACTGACGTAACACAATCTTTCTTGCTTTATCTGGCCTTGTGGCTTAGAAAATATTAGAAGTTAGGAAGGGGAAGGAAAAAAAAGAAAGGAGTTAATTGCAAGAGAAAAATAGAATATAAACAAAAATGAAGGGGAAAATAAGGAAAGGATAAAATAAAAACTAACGAAAAAAAAAAGATTAAAATTTGAAAACCGTAGCAAAACTCGCATGAATAAATGAAATAATTAACAAATCTCAAACTGAACCGAAAACGGTAAAGAAAGAAAAGAAAGAAAGAAAGAAAGAAAGAAAGAAAGAAAGAAAGAGAAGGGGAAATGAGAGAGAAAAACAGAGAGAGAGAGAACGAGAGAGAAAGAAAGAATGAGAAAAAGTGAAAGAGAAGTAAAGAGAGAGTTAGTGAGAAAGATAGAGAGAGAACAAGATAAAGAGGGAGAAAAAGAAAAAGAGGCAGATAAAGAAAAAGAGAGAGAGTGAAAGAATGGATGACAGAAAGAAAGGGAGAAATAAAGACAAAAGAAAAAAGAGAGAAAGATAAAGAGATAAAATAAATAGAAAGAAAGAAAGAAAGAAAGAAAGAAAGAAAGAAAGAAAAAGAGAGAGTAAATGAGTGAGAAAAAGAAAGAGAAATATAGAGCGAAAGAAATTGACAGCGAAAAAGAAAGAAAGAAAGAAAGAAAGAAAGAAAGAAAGAAAGAAAGAAAGAGAGAAAAATGAAATGAAAAAGCCAAAGAGAGAACTAAAAAATAATAAAATTTGAATGAAGTAGAACATCGGACGATAGATCGACAGTCCTTAATTTTTGCTTGGATTTGGCATTAGGAGTCAAGGATTTTAAAGGTATCTTCCTTTATAATTATTATCTTGACATTTCTTTCTTGTTTCTTTGTTGTTGTTGTTGTTATTATTTATCCTTTCTCCCGTGGAAGATTTAACTGTGTCACAGTAATATAGGAAAAAAAAAAAAAATTAAAAATGAAGAGAAAAAAAAAAATCCGTATTCCACGCAAAATATTCGACAACAAAAGAAGCGGGAATCCGAATCCGTATGTCTGCGCATGCTTGCTTTTTTTATATGCAGAAATAAGAAAGACGCCTCCATTACGTCTGTGTTTTTGTAATTCGTTTTTTTGCTTTTGTTTTGTTTTATTTTTTTTTTTTCGTTTCTCAATTAGAAGGATGGAGGAAACATCTGATAAAAATGATCCCAAGGATAGTTTCTTTAAGTCAGACATCGGAAAGTGTAAATTAAAATCATGTTCTCAAACAATTTCCAATCATTCTTCATACGATATATGATGTTCAGTTTTGTTTTTTTTTTTCATTGTAATTTCGTGTCATTAAGTTGAAAAATGAATATTTGTTGTAAAAATAGGTTCTTCTTGGATCACTTGAAATGAAACCGTTAAACACGATACCAAGTCAATTTGTTTTTATTAAATTCGTGTTACAAACATTTACAGTGGACAGAGGATATTAGCCTGGAAAGAAATGGGTAAGCTGAATTCAAATTCTGTTTTAGCTGTCGTGTTCACTTTACACGAAACCTCTACAAAAAGGCATGAATCCATCTCGTCCCCCAACCTCTTACTAGCAGTTAAATAGCATTGGTCTCTCTAGCCTTTGGTGGCAGCCAGACTAGGAGCGAGAATACTCTGAATTTAAAACCATCGAGAATGTAACGCGAAACTATCATTTTCAAGAAGACTTAACAATTCAGAGAAACTGTGAAGCGCCATGATTAAAGAAGAGGATTCTTTATCAGACCACATAGACTGGCGCTACAGGATCACAATCAAAGAGCATTATCAAAGAGCAAAACCCACATTACTGGAAAAGCAACAACAACAGTACAAATCGCAACTGTAAACAGAAACGAAAATAAATGTTAATTTTCCACGCAGCTAAAAGAAAATGTTTGGAAGGTAACTCACATCAATACGAGGACTTGAGACGCTTAATCTATAAAATTATTATTATTCCAGTGGCTTCACACAAATGAGGCTATTGTGGACCCCTTACACTTACTATAAAGTAGTAGGAAAATAAGTCTCGGACGGAGCAGTGCTATATCCTGTCAAACTCTCTGCCTTGAGCAGAGAGGAACCCAAACGACGCTTTGCCGAAGGGCAGAGTTTCACCCGGCGTGGTAGACAGACCTGGACACGTTTATGCGGGTTCTAAGGGAATATTTTTGGCCGAACATACAGGCTCGGAGAACCTACGGTAAACTCGGCCTTGTGCAACATACATCCGTCGTGGGGGGGGTCTGTTAAATATTAACAGTGCCATATCCTGTTCATTACTGTCAAACTCTCTGCCTCGTGCGGAGAGGAACCCGGACGAGGCTTTGCCGAAGGGAAAGATTTAACCGGGAAGACAGAGAGACCCTGAACCCGTTTATACGGTTTCTAAGAGAATATTTTTAGCCGAGCCTACAGGCACGGAGAACCCGCGGTAAACTCGGCCTTGTGCAACACACATCCGTCGTACTGTTAAATATTAACAGTGCTAGACTGTTCAACTGTCGAACTACCTGTCTTGAGCAGAGAGGAACCTGGACGAGGCTTTGCCGAAGAGCTAAAGCTTAGTCCGAGGAGGTAGACAGATCCTGAACCCGTTTATGCGAGTTCTAAGGGAATAATTTTGGCCGAGCCTACGTGCTCGGAGAACCCACTGTAAACTCGGCCTTGTACCACATACATCCCTCGTGGGGGTGGAGGCTGTTAAATATTAACAGTGCTAGACTGTTCTACCAAGGCTGTAGCAGCTGTTTGCAGGAACCCGGATGATGCTGTGCCGAAGGGCAGGGTCTCGTCCGGGCAGGTAGACAGACCTGAACCCGTTTATGAGGGGTCTACGAGGACTTGTTGGCCGATCCTTCGGGCTCGGATGACCCACGTTAAACTCTCGTGGGGGGTACTAAATATAACAGTGATATAGACTGAACGTTGGTCAACCGACGCACACTTGCAAGTCGTGTATCAGAATCTACAAATGAATAAATAAGCTGAACTTGTATATGAATAGCATTTAATATATCTGACCGCGTGTGTGAAACGGAATCATTCAGAGTCGGCACGAATGCAGACCCCAAATCATTACGATGCATCACATGGGATTGGAAATCGATTTATTCTCCAAGCTTGAACTTATACGGTATTGCACCAAATAAAATTCTTGCTATGATGTGTTGTTTCTTACTGTGTAACAGTAAAAATCACATCCTCAAATAGGTTTACGAATACATATATATATATATATATATATATATATATATATGAAAATTTCTCCGACTTAACCGGTAGAGAAGACAATATTTAATGACAATAGGAAAACTAATAATTGATGACAATTTCGTCCAATGTGGACTTTATCATTGCAAAATTCGAAATGAAATTAATTGAACAAGGTAACTAATAAAAACAAAAATAATTGCTAGGGACATTCTTTTTGTTTTTATTAGTTTTTGTTCAATTAATTTCATTTCGTATTTTGCTTGATAAAAGTCCACATTGGACGAAACGCGTCAGCAATTACTAGTTTTCCTATTGTCATTTTATTCATATATATATATATATATATATATATATATATATATATATATGTTCAAAATTCATATCGAAAGGTTGACAATAACTCGAAATTTGAATTCAGTGTTACATGATGAGATGTACAAGTTTCATAACAGTTTATGGTTCTTATATATTAAAGAATAGTATTCAATATATATATATATATATATATATATATATATATATATATATATATATATATATATATATATATATATATATGTGTGTGTGTGTGTGTGTGTGTGTGCACGCGCTTGCCCTGTGTATGTGTTATTTCATATTTACTACTGACGCTAATGGTCGGTGTTTGAGTACAGGCAGAATATAATAGGATACCGAATACTGTTTTTTGAAAACAAGGAGAGGGACTTCCCCATTTGCTTGACTGGTGTAGCACTATCTTTCTTCTCTCATTCCAAAGGCGGATTTTGAGGTCTAATAACTTTAGCATGCTTCTCAACGGCACCAATGGCCAGGGTTCGAACCCACCTAAAAACTACGATTTTGAATACTGTTCTTTAATATATAAGAACCATAAACTGTTATGAAACTTGTACAACTCATCATGTAACACTGTGAATTCAAATTTCGAGTTATTGTCAACCTTTCGATCTGAATTTTGAACAAAGTATTTCTGTTTTCTTTGAAATAATTGATGTCCTTCAATAAACTTTATTCGTTAGATCTCTATCATATAAAAATAACTCTTTCTATGATCATATTACCATCAAACTCGGTATAATAGTGAGATTCCGTTAATTTACTACTGTCACACAATGAAAGGCCCAAAAGCCACTCAAGTTAGATGGTTACCGAATAAGCTTGTTGTATTTAGACAATGGTCGATCTTAGACTGGAAGTGGCTGAGAATATCGTGAACGTGAAAGCACATTCTCTTGGCAATTTGTTCCATAAAGCACCGGTCTTTAGAAAGAAGCTGGAACTTTCTAAACACTGGTATACGAAAGGAATGAGGCTGAGTAGAACCCTTGCATATTACGCGGGCAGTCCTAGCTCTGAAGTTCTGACTTGATAGAGCTAAAGAATGTAGCTCAACAGAACATTTTTTTCTATGGAAATAACGATAGACCAGCGAGAGGACTGCGATGTTTCCTCTGTGGGAAACGGGTTGTAAGGTGGAAAATAATGCATCACTTAATAGACCACATAAACGATTTTGAACTCAGTCAAGATCGGAAAAAAGACTTTGATTTAACTCTTGTAAAGACAGAGCTTAGTCAATGGAATCGCGTATCTTCTGGATCGTAACAAGGGACCAACAATTTTTCTAGCATCTTTAGCGATGAAATCTTATACATAAGTTCCACTTGAGATCTAGGATGAGTCTGAGTCCCAGTAGACATTCAAAGCAAGGTACCTCATTGAGTGTACAACTGGTGATTCTCACAGGAGCAAATTAAATGATAATGAAATGTTACTCGCTTGGCTTGGGAGGTACTGAATGCTACAAAACAATTCCCCTCACAAAACAATTCCCCTGTTAGATCTCAGAGTACAAAATCACCTGCCAGGTGTTTCTCATCTATAACCATTGTTCCATAACCAGAGGTTCGAATATATACTAGCTTACTAGAGTTTAGTAAAAGGTCATATGCGTGGACACCAACTGAAAATTAAACCGCGTGTTTTAATGGTATCAGAGTCTAACCCGCTGCAGTAATATACCTTTTCCTTTTATGGTGTTTTCAGCTATAAGGATACAGAGGGAGATTAGCTTAGTCGGGCACAAGGCAACAATTTAAGAGCATTTAGTTTGAATCAAACTATTGCTGCATTTGGAAAATATGCCATCTTTCTAATTAGTATTTTGCGGCAAGGCTTGTTAAACATGGCTAAGTCATTCACAAGACTGAAAATATATGGGTTTCAGTAAAGATCGAACTCATTCCACGAGAACCGCTCTGCGAGACGAACCTTTCGATTGTAATTATTCTTGTAAGTACTTTGTCCCTTTAGAACGTTGATGATCATGGATCACTGCAATTTGTTCTTTGTAGCTCTTACTGTTTTTTGGGGGGTGGTTTGCCATCTCTTTCAAGCCCTGCTCCGCCATTCATTCGCTTAAGCTGACCAGGTAGACTATGAATTGCTTTCCATTGTCTCTCTTACCTTCAGCCTGTTCTATGCGTATCAGATTCTTCAA